AATATATATATATATATATATATATATATATATATATTTCTTTCTACGATTAATCGTTTAGGAGATATAGAGCGTGACAGACAGACAGACATTTGGCTATTACATATAGGTAGATAGATATATATCTGTGTATTAATTAATATGACGAACAAAATAGTTTAGAGGAGAAGGCCACATTTATAATCATCTGAAATCAATTATCATTATAGTGCATTTTATTCTGTTTGTTTGTAATTAAGCACAAAGTTACACAATGGGCTATCTGTTCTCTGCCCACCACGGGTATCGAAACCCGGTTTCTAGCGTTGTAACTCCTGTGCCACTAGGGGACGCATTTTACTCTAAGAACAAAATACTTAACTTATCTTCAGATAAAAACAAACAAACTGATTTAAATGGGGATAACCTTGTAGTTGTTTCTGTCTATACAACTTGCTTCACGTTTTAAAACAAGGAAACTGAATTTTAGACTGTTTCCATGGATACAATGCTTCTTACCTATATATACTGGGGAGTCCTTCTTCTTGGCGTTGTCATCTACCAAGGGTATTCCTATGATAAAGGTACCAATATATCCAACTCCTTTTAACATACTCCCGAGAAACAGTATGATAACTTCTAACTTTAAAGCTGTGGACTGATATGTTTTTGAAGAACAGTAATAATCTTCTCTTTTATTAACTCCACAAAGATCATACGTGCTGTTTTTGTCGATCGAAGATATCAGAAGATGAAGCCCTGGACCATGTATAAAATATGGAAGTGTACAGACAAAACACCCTATAGCAGAAACAACCATACATAATCCTATTATTCTTGGTCGATGACTCTTCTGCGAGAAGTAGCCTATTATTCCACCCAGCAAAATTGGACTTAGTTCACCAGCAATGAGGATAAAACCACTGATTGTACTGTAAACAGCGTATCGTTTCTCTAAGGTGTATACAATGCCAACAAAGTAGCTGAAAAACATTCCTTGTATAACTATTAAAACCGAAATGGTAAATAAAAGGAATTTAGGATTTAACAAAAACTGAAACCGCGTTTTATTCTTTCTACCAATACCATGTGGTCTTCCTACGTCATCTATTTCCTCTGGGTTAGTGTTAGTTATGTCATAAGATTCCACAGTGTAAATGACGTTCTCCAGACCGCCGAACATTTGATTAACGTGTGTTTTATCACTGTATGGAAAAAAAAATATGCAAACTAAATATTGTGCAGTTAAAAGAGTCTTGATAATAATAACATTAATCTACTGTACATAAATGGTTTACCAGGTTGATGTTTTAGCTAGCTCATTATATGATACAAATACAAGAAATCTAACCGCCGTGAAGAACCCTTGTATTATGCGAAAGGCCTCATCGGCGTTGAATATAGCAGTTACAGTGTGGTTAACCTATTAATGAACACTCATTTCTACTCAGACCTTCCATAGCCTGTGGGTTGCGAGTTCGAATCCAGCCACCGAACATTCTTGTCCTATCAGCCGTGGGGGCGCTATATTGTGAATGTCAATCCAATTTTCCCTTAGTAAAATAGTAGCCAAAGCGTTGGCGGTGGGTGATGGTGATTAGTTACCTTCCCTCTAGTTTATCACTTTCAAATTAGAAATGACTAGAGCATTTAGCTCTCGAGTAGCTTTAAGCGAACTTCCGGAACAACGAAACAAATATCTACAATCAGTCGCACTTAACAGTTATACAGGCATAAAAAGCGTCTGCAATCAGTCGCACTTAACGGTTATACAAGCATAAAAAGCGTCTACAATCAGTCGCATTTAACGTTTATACAGGCATAAAAAGCGTCTACAATCAGTCGCACTTAACGGTTATACAGACATAAAAAATATCTACAACCAGTCACACTTAACGGTTATACAAGCATAAAAAATATCTACAACCAGTCACACTTAACGGTTATACAAGCATAAAAATATCTACAACCAGTCACACTTAACGGTTATACAAGCATAAAAAATATCTACAACCAGTCACACTTAACGGTTATACAGGCATAAAAAGTATCTACAATCAGTCGCACTTAACGGTTATACAAGCATAAAAATCAGATGAAAACAGGTTTACTTGTTGTTGTTTGTTTTTTTTTTTTGTCTTTTTGTTAAATTTCGCATATAGCTACACGAGAGCTACTTTGCACTACTCGTTTCTAATTTTAAAACGTTTGTTTGTTGTTAATCGCAGACCTATTAAAAGAACTATCCGTGCTCTTTCCACCGCGGGTACCAAACCCGATTTTTAGCGTTATAAGCCCAGAGACTAGCCGCGGACCTACAGGAGGCATTTTATTGTTAGACTGAAAGAAATTCAGTAGTCAACACCGCCAACTCTAGGCCAGTCTTGTCAGATCGAATTGTGGGATTTGACCATGACTCTTATAACACACCCACGCTCTTAAATTGTGGAGCCTTTTTTTCTTCGTTATGGTAACGAAGCAGCATCTGACCCCCAGTCCAACACTTTGACCAGTCGGAAGTGCTAGGGTTTTATCAGGTATTTTTAGTGCTCACTCAAAGTATTGTTAGCACATGAACTATGTAAAAGTCACTTACTTAATTTTGTTCGTCTATCCGTTTTACATAATCATGTATTTTCAAGATTTTCTAGTGTAAAATTATTAGGAAAAGCATTAGAATACTATAATACCTCACAAACACCAATCTCCATCTTTTAGAATATATTTTAAGGAACTTCAACGGGGTAGTTACTATACAGCTTTCTGCGAAATAAAGTTAACAATATTTTGAAAACTTCCGCATCAGAGAATAGTTATAGCTAGATAAAGACATCTTGTTCCGCTTACTTCCGGTTTCACATTTAAATATAAAACTAGTGAATCAAAGTTAATAGATCAAAACTGATACTCGGGCTGGCCGATACATAAAACTAGTAAAGTTAAAATAATTTAACCATTTTAGTCCATGCTATATATCGTCTTCAGTTCCAGAACGTCTTATGTCTACGTAATATTCAAATAGCTTCTAAATTAATACTAGTTCCTAAACCTACACTTCAATAATCATCTGGAAGTAACCATTAAAAAAAACTGTAACTTACCATTCCATATTAAACAGAGCTGTAAACTATTAACTGGAGTGACTACTATCGTCACAATTTTTCTGTCTGAAGTTTGATATTTTCGTGGAGTTACGTACGTGTTTCTCATTGTAATTATGTACAATTTTTTACGTATCCAAACCGCAGCTGCGCAGTGAATACTGCAGGGCATATTCAGCACGTGTTCATCATTTATTTTACAGCCCTTAGGATATACAGAGAATATAAGCAAATTTTCTCGAGTCTCATCAACAGAAATCTTATTACGTCAGGACAGATATTGCACCACAATCCGTTCAGATGTGCCCAATTTTATTCATTACCAATATGAAATCATAATGAAGTAATTAATATTTGCTCAAAAATATGGGTAGAAACACAAAGATTCGCTTCCGACTTTTAGCCCCTTTGATATCGGTTGTCGTAAAACATTTGTTAAAGAAACAAGAATGTTCGGTCATTTTCTCCGAATTAAAAATCATAACTAAAACTTATCTGTTTTAACGTTTGTCTTGAATAAGTAAAGAACTTTCTAAGTAACACAAAAATAATATGCAGCAAAAATTTAATAAAGGTTTTTTAATGTTATATTTCAAACTTATTTGACAATTATCTGTTCCATCATACTGCATAGTAATTAGAATATATTGTTTGAATACGAATTAACATATGTTATAACATGAACAAATTAGAAAGTTAGCAGAGGAAAATAATAGACATGACAAATGTTTGTACAAAAACTACGTTTTCTAACCTGAACGGTGCCTTATGGGAGTTTATGTTTAGTTATGTTCCAGCTGTCTCTTACGCATGAGCACCCATTTGGGCAAAACGTAAATTAGCCTCATTTTGTTTTGCTACGGAGTGTTTCTCTGTTGCTCGCATATTGATATTAATTTACCTGCGTATCTATACGTCTGTACTTTTAATACTCTAGTCTCCTGCATGTGCTGTTCTATATGTTCTTATTAACCTGTACATTTGTTTACAATATATTTCGTATATTTTAAGTTACCTAAAGCTTACTAGCTTCTTTTTTTTAGAAAGTTTAAATTTATAACATCATCTCCAGAATACTTAGGGCAATGGGCAAAACAAGACATATCTTACAAGTACATAAGACTACATGACGAACACTTATGCTCAGTTTAACAGTTCTAATTACACACCTACTAAAGATGAGAGCTGTGTGTGTGTTTCTTATAGCAAAACCACACTGGCTATCTGCTGTGACCACCGAGGGGAATTGAACACCTGATTTTAGGGTTGTAAATCCGTAGACTTACCGCTGTCCCAGCGGGGAACGAAGAGAGCTGATCTGACGAATTAGATCATACAACGTAGTTAAAAAAATGATCTGACAAATCTGATCATGTCTATTTGTTGAAGCAGGTGATCTGACATATCTGATCATATCTTTTTGTTGAAGCAGATGATCTGACATATTTGATCATGTTTTTTTTGTTGCACAAAAAGCATGATCAGATTTGTCAGATGATTTGTTTCAACAAAAAACATGATCAAATATTTCAGATCATTTGCTTCCACAAAAAGACATGATTAGATTTGTCAGATCATCTGCTTTATTAATCTGATGGCATATCTGTGAAAAAATATTCATAAAAATTAGCATTTATTTCATAAGGTCCAACTTCCTTCTTTGATTACCAAACGTTTGCCTGTCATACAAAAATTTTGCTGAAATCTCAAAATTTGTTTACCATTTCTGGTCCGTCGGTGGAACAGCGGCAGAGCTGTGCGTAGCGCTTCTATAGGAGCGACAAATGGATTAAGGATACATTTAAAAATTTATAGCGATTACATGTAGCGTCGCTCAATTTTTCATTCATGCAAAGCGCTACTCGCTACATTTTTAAACAGAAAATATAAATTAGGATAATCTTTATATATAATTGTATAATCATAGAGATTTGTATATATATAATTATTATAAAATATTAGATATATATTGTTTCGGACATAAATAGGCTTGCGTATGCTACCTGAAATATTCAGCTGATTCGATCTGCAACATGGCTTGCCGGATATCCTTGACGTAATGCTACGTAACACAGATAAAGTGTTCTTTGTATTTGTTTACAATATTTTTATATTTAATATTCATTATATATATATGTTCAGTTTAATTTAATATTAATTAAGAAGGTGTATCAATTTATTTTTATGTAAATAAATTTAATTTAGAAGTACTGTTAATTTTTTTATTACATCCCTGAGCTGGATAATTTTAGCAGATCCTTTTCTTGGTAATACCTTTTAATCATATGATTTTTGTTTGTTTGTTTGTTATTAAGCACAAAGCTACACAATGGGCTATCTGTGCTCTGCCCACCACGGGTATCGAAACCCGGATTCTAGCGTTGTGAGTCCGCAGACATACCGCTGTGCCACTGTGGAGCATATTCATATGAACCAGCTAGTTAATATTTCATGTCGGATAATTAGTTAAGAAAATCCCAAAAATATATGCTATTATAAATCTTTATTTATATTGTATATTATAATATTATAATTATATTAAATATTATCATAATTATATATTGATATATATATATAATAGTATTATATTTTTGTATATTGTATTTTTGTATAATATATTGTATATAATTACATTTTTACTGCATTTTATTTACGAAAGACAATCAGTCGTGTTACGTGATGCAGTTGCTGTCGTAAACATGTTGCGTCAGGATTGAACTTGCTCTCTACAGCAACCAGGCATCATTTCTTTTTATTTTCGTTCGTCATTCCGTCAAAGTAGCATTTAGCGCGAGATTGCGTCGCCATGTACATTAGCTAATGTCATATAATGGAATCCGGCAAAAAAAAAAGACGATGTTTCTGCTACAAAAAGCTGTTAACACTGAGTCTAATCGTGGATGTAGCCATCCTTGGCCTACATAACAGACTTTTTTGAATTTGTTGGAAGTGAAAATGCAAGTGGATCCCAACCCTAAATAATTTTGTTGCAGTGTAAATGTTGTTTGCACGCAAAAAAAAAATATTTGCAGGGCCAATAAGAAATCACTTTTTAATCTAAAGAAACACATTAGTTACAATCATTCCCATAAACTCAGGGGTTTTGAATCATGCATCAAGAGAGGAACGGAGGTAAAAAGGTCAAGCAAACGGTCAGTTCAAGCATCAGACACAGGGACTTATACTTCTTCTAAGAGAAAAACTGAGAAAAATTAAGTGGAACAACCAATTCTTGGAGCCTTCATTGCTGCTAGTGCCGGGAGGGTTAGCCAATGTAAAATATATACACTCATAATTGATTTGGTCATTGGGGAAATGTTTCCTTTCAAACGTGCGCAATTAACGATAAATTCGCACTGAAAAAAAGATGAACTGAAAGAGCAGTTCAGCACAGTAAAGTGATCACAGTCGATTGTTAGAGTTGCGGAAACAGATGTGTTGTAATAAATTGTTAATAGATGATAAAAAGCATTGTTGTTTCTGAAATTTAAAACATCTAATAATAGAATGAGACATGGAATTAGCTTTAGCGTAGCATTTACAGTGAGCGTTTTGTACTCACTAGTTTAGCTTTGTATTGTTTACTTTTACAGATCCTATGTAGGCGTGACTGTCCATTAGATTAACCCAGAAAGCCTAAAGAGGGAATATACAGCATTTGCTTGCCGCCTTCTCACTGGCCAATACACATCTGACTTGATCATCAAGGAACTGGAAGCAGTTCACATCGAATATTGCATTCAAAACAAGATTATCAAGATCACTACTGACAATGGGTCCAACTTTGTCAAAGCATTCAGGTTAGTTACAGTATTTTCATAATAAATTTTGTTTATTACTGCATCTTATATCAATGAATAATATATATATTAATCACAATCTACATAATAATACACTTGCATCTGTCTGTCTGTCCAAACCTTTTCTCCTAAATTTCTCGACCAAATGCCACAAATCTCATATTGTTCGAAAGGCCTTTGTCTGAGGAATCCTAATTGCATATTGGCTTGAAAAAAAAATTACAGTGATTAAGTTACGTTAAATTTCGCATTTCTTGGAGGGGGTGATAAATACATTTAGATAAGAGGGAAAGCTTAGAGAGAAATTATCACACTAGGGGAACTTTAGGATGTTTTTTTAAATATTGCCTTATAAGTTGTAAATTTAAGAACTTAAAACTTGTATACTATTAAAATATGGATTGTTAGATACGTTTTTGTGCTATATTTATTCATATACCTTGATAATAAAGTAAATGTAAAATATAACTCATTAAAATCTCGTGACATACGCAGAAAAAAATAGCCGTAGAGAGAGAGAGAGTTAAATATAGTTACGGTTACGTGTAGAGAGTAAATAATAATGATATACCTAATTGAATACAAGTTCAACGCTCGTAAGTTATTTCTAGATCATTCAATTTGTCTCACGGTGACTCAGGGGTAAGCTTGAAAGATTATAACGCTAAAAATCAAGATTCGATAACTGCGTTGAGCTTTGTGCTTAAACACACACACATAAAAATAAAACAAAAAATAAACAAACAGTTATTCGATTTCCCTTTAAATCACCTGCGAAGGAATACACATTCTTACTATTTTAAACTTTTTATGGTATTAAGTATGATGAAACATTGCAGTAGTCCTTGTAATAATCTTAATAACATCACTCATTGTTTTTCAAATAGAACAGGATTTAGCGATCAAACGCATAATGCCTGCAAGAAAGCTCAGCTTATATGCTGTGCATGAAAATCATAGAATAAGGAACGTTCAAGCAAGGGCATGAAAACTACCACAAATGTTTTGCGGGTCGAGTCTAGTATATATTAATACTGGTACTGTTTCTCTCTTTCTCTCTCTCTCTTTCTTTCCTTCCTTCTCTCTTTCACGTTTTTCTGTCTATGCTCCTAAGCTATGGATAACTCTCCCTATCGAACTTTAAGTCTGTCAGATCTTTTAAAAATCTTTTGAAGTTGTTTCTCTTTCACTTAGCTTTCGACTAATGTAGAGACTGGTCAGCGACAGGCGCTTTGAATGGCTGACAATGACTAGAGAAGTACTGTATAAGAAATTAAATTAATATTATTATAATTATCAGTATTATACCAACCCAA